ATAATAAACTTATCTTTGGAACATATCTTTGGCTCTTGTAATGCAGGGAATATCATTTGTATTAATTGGTTTCTATATGCCATCTGTTGAAACTCCTCAATTAACCTTTACAAATTATTTTGACATTTTGTGATGAGATTATCTTGATAATTTTTCCTACACTCAAAAAAATCGAAATAAACCAAAATAAGTTTTTTCTAAATCTTTCATTTTTACAAAATAACAAAAACAACAATTATGACCATAAATAAACAACAACCAAACACTAAATTATAATCAAAAAGTTAATATTCATAGGGGGAAAAGTGTATAGAAAGTAAATTAGATTTTTTTTTTACTTCTATGAAACCTGTTGCTTTTCACTGAAACCGACGAGTTGGTCAGTTTCAACCAGAGTCATATGATAGACATTTGATGCTGTCCAAGACTTTAAGGGCTCTACGAATGAGAAATATGAAAATCAATATTACATGCCTTTGTTGACCAGATGCAGCCAAGAGCAGAAACTCTCTCAACTGTGTTAGTACTGACGGAGAATAAAGAAGGAGAGATAGAGGGCAAGGTAGAGAAAAAAAAAAAGAGCAATAGAGGTAGAAAGAGGGAACTTACGTCGTGAGAGAAGGAAGGAGGGTAATTATGTGGAAATGAGCATTCTCCCAGCATGCTTCTCTCCCTCAGCGATGCAGACAAGAGCCATTTGTCATCTGGTCCAAAATGGCATCTCTGGAGCCTGTTTTAGAGACTGCGGGATTGAGGGACTCGTTCTTTCTCTAATATCCTGACAGTCCTGGACTTATATACTCTTTCTCTTTATCTTTGTATCTCTCAAACCCAGAGAGGCTCTACTATCCAAACGACTGAGTGCAATAGAGAGGATGTGATGTGATTACAGGGAAAGAGCTTCCACAGGTGTCATTTCTTCTTCACCAGTGACCCCTCCATCACACAAAGACAAATATTTATTTCAGTCATCCCATTCAATTAAAATAATTCACACTCCTCCAACACTTTCATGTTCGGTATTTCAGAATAGTTGACTATAATGTTCATAACTGGTAAATGCCATTTTTATTGACAAATAAAAATATGATGCTCTTGTATTACATTTTTATATAATTTTTTGTTTTCACTTTAGTTTTTAGTTTTTTTAAATACATGTTTTCATTGTTAGGGTTAGAGTGATTGACACTATAGGACACTGTGTGTCCATCCCTCACACAGGGGCAAGGGAAGTGGGGGTGCTGGAGGTGCTGTTTGTAAATGTAATGCAAATTTTTGTTCATTTTGAAGCATTTTGTAATTAATTTGTAATAAACACTTTAAGTGGACTATTTAAAAAGTGTTAAGACTATTTAGTGTGACGTCATATTGTCTGTGCGTAGAAAGAATTTGTCCGCAGCTGCTAAAATAAAAAAAAAATAAAAAAACCTCCACAGCCGCTCTTCTCCTGAGTGCAAGTCCACAGTGTTGTGTAAGGTAGGCACTAAGCAGGTTTTTGGTGTTCATTTCTATTTACTGTCGCTGTGCAGGCTCTTGTATTGTATATGACAGTGTAAACAGCCCAATAACCCTTTTATTTAAAGGCTTAATTTATGCCCCATAGACCGGACCGTTGCATTATGATTGAAAGCATCAATAGTAATGTCAAAACCCACCGATACACTAGTTGTGATTCGCGGAGTTTTGACGAATTTTATAGACTTGATATTGTTTCTTATTCAAAAGTGGTGACCCCCCCCACCAAAAAAAAAAGCAGCACCCCCAACACTAAAACATCTTCCCGCGCCCCTGCCCTCACAGCCTCATTTTCATTCATTACAAATTATGAAAAAATTTGTGTCTAACCTGACTAAGGTCTATAGCAAGTTAATATGACAATAGTAAAGAGTGAACTGTCTATATTATTACCCTACACTTTGCGTTTACATTTAAGATGATGAAAGACCAAAGAACAAGCTTTCAGAGAGTCCTGATCTCTTACTGCTCAACAGGAAAAAAATTGCAACAATATGAGCCGGAAAAAAAAAAAATCTAGAAAATCCAATCCACTTTATCATAGAGAAACATTCAAAGGAACCGTGCTGTTTTACGAATTACAAAGTCACAAAACAATGAGGGAATGCAGGATGTAAAGAATGAACATGAGAGGGAGAGAGACAGTAATGAGGAGGAGGAGGAAAGAGAAGGAGAGCATCTCCCACCGTGGGTTTTGTGTTTCTCCTTTGAGCAAGACAAGAAGAACCTTCCGGATAAATGAAACCACAGCGGAGGAAGAGAGAATCAGACACCTGCAATCAGACAAACAGGAAGCATTCCAGAAAGAGTGATGGAGAAAGAAACAGTGATAGAGAGAGATAAAGAGAGTCATGGAGAAAGAGAGAGAGAGAGAGAGAGAGAGAGAGAGAGACAGAAAAAGTAGCCTCATCTAAGGATGAGATAGATGGAGATACTGAGTAAATCCCCCCCCCCCAAACAATAATCACTGGATGAAACCCAAAGCCTTTCATATCACGCAGCAGGCAGACCTGATCTGGCCCTCTGGCCCACAGGCACTGGGGGTGGGGGGTGAGGGGGAGACCGCCTGTCCTGGGGCACTGACCAGATGCTCACATGAAAGATTAGGATTTTTTCTCATTGTGTTAATGTGGTTGGGGGGTCATAAGCACAACCTGTAACATTTCACTTGTTGATAATTTCAGTGATTTGGAAGATTATTAAGATTAATGCAAATGGTTAATTTTTTTTAAGTTAAGTAAATAAATATAACATTTATATATATATATATATATATATATATATATATATATATATAAGTATATTCAGATAAATGCGAAAATATGCAAATAAATAAGATAAATAAGATTAACAATATCAAATATATATGCAAATATCTATACATAAAAAGCAAATTAACAATTATAATACTATAAAACAGATTATAATACTACTAATAATTAGTGTTAATACATTTAAAGATAAAAAAAAAAAAAAAAACTATACTATTTTTTATTCATTTTTAACATTATTTTATATTTATATTTTAACATTTTTTAATTATTGAACTATTAAATGTAATGTAAAAAAATGTTATACATAAAATGTATACAGATACAAATAAACAAGTTAATCACATATATATATATATATATATATATATACACACACAAATTATATTAACAACTTTTTATTTCAAAACAACATTAATAATATTAAATGTATATATACTGTTTCTATTTCAAAATAGTTTCAATTATTTGTAAATCTTTTATTATTTAATATTTATATTTTAAATGTTTTTTTCTTTAACTATTAATGTAAACACCAGCAATACTCGTAAAAATGAATCCAGATTTATACATGCTTAATGCACGTACATCCAAAATATTATAAATAAATAATAAACCAATAATCTGAAACAATACCCTAAAAATTATCGTACAGCTATATCGAACACGTGTGTATAATAATTATTTTAGACAACTGCTCAGAGGGAGAGAAAAGGAGAGTGATAGTGGCGTGTGGTGTATTCAGACACTTCATTAAGTGAATGGGGGGCCGGTTTGAGAGACTCCCACTTGCTTTACATGTAAGGACAAAGACATAAAGAACATAAAGGGTTCAGCGTGCAGGCAGATGCCGACATCATCCTGTCCTATGAAGCTCCATTCATAGTAACTGTGGCCTGCACTTGTAATCATTGTGCACACTGAGTGTGTGTGTGTGTGTGTGTGTGTGTGTGTGTGTGTGAGAGAGAGAGTGTAAGTGTGTGCGACAACCTGTACTGGATATTTGCTTCAAAATGTAATTGATTCATGAAGTCTTGTGTTTCTCCACATAACAATTAACATTGTTAATGGCTGTTCAAGAATATGCAGACAGTTAAAAAAACTGTTGTTATTGTTAACTAAAACTACAAAAAATAGTTTTTGGTAAATGAAGCTGAAATAAAATACAACTATCAGATGAAAAACTTAAACGAAGATTAAAAATGTTGCCTTGGTAACTAATTAAAAGTAATAAGTACTAAAATTATAAAAACTAAAACTGAAAAAAAAGTTAACTAAAGCCATATAGAAATACTATTAAAAAAAACTAAAATAAATAACATAACAAAATAACTAATACCTGAACTAAAATTCAAATAAAAAATATAATAGCTCATTTAAAATCTTAATAAATAGGCCTACTAATAGTATAGAAATACTACTAAAATAACAGAATTTAATGCATAATAATGATGCTCATGGCATGGGTTAGAATCCCAGAAAACACACAAACACAGCTTTCTGCCAAATGCATAAATGTAAATAAATACACAGGAAGAGTATGAATTCTAGTTGACATTGCAGATTTAGAGAGGAAAACAAAGCGAATACAGCTTGCCAGCATTTGATGTCAGCGAAACAGACGGGACACGGAACGCAGAACGGAACCGAACAGAATGTACGCTGGTTGTTGTATCAACTCACTTTGAGATTGTGTGACATTTCAGGCCTTTCCTTCTCTTTCTCTCTCTCTCTCTCTCGCTCCCACAGAATGGGGGTGTGTAAGGAGGGGAGGGAGCGTATCAGAGGGGGGTCTGTCTGTCTGCGTGTGTGAAGGCACAGACGGTTCAGTAGTAATGTGATGTGTGTCCCGAGGGATGTTTGATGGATTAATGCTGAGCAGCTTCATTGCGATGTACCACCTGATCTCACTCCCACCGTCTGCCTCTATAAAACCTGCCTGACTGCTGATCTCAGCTAGTCTCACAGTCTCTTCTCTCTCTCTCTGTCTGTCTGTCTCTCTTTCTTCCTCTCTCTGTCTCTCTCTCTCTCTCTCTCCTCTCTATCTCTTCCTCCTCTCAGCCGCCTCCGCTGCAGGCCAGGAGCTATCCAGTGCTGAACAAGTGAAATTTTTTTTTTTTCAGCAGCGTAAGCGGGTGTGTGTGTGTGTACAGTAGCAGTCACACACACACACACACACACAGTATTGTACCATCAGACATCTCTCTCCTCCTCTTCATATATGCTCTTCATTTTTCCTTTATCTACAATCACTGTTTTTTGTTTCTGGGACGTGGATCTTTTTTTATGTGACGGATTTCATTCGGGACGATTTTCTCCAGGGTTTTTTTGTCCGTCTGCGGCCGATGTGAAGGATTTTCTGCTGCGTCTGTGCGCGTGCGACCGTGTGTGAACCATGCCTCGCTCATTTCTTGTGAAGAAAATTAAACTGGATGATTTTTCCTCATCTCCCGTATCAGCGTCTAATCATCATCACCATCATCATCATCCCGATGACTCCTTTACACGTTCTCGCTCAAACCTGGGCGTCCGACTCTGTGAAAATGGTGAGTGTGGTGCCTAAATATATTGTTTACATACAGATACAGTAGCTTCGCTATATGTGCTTGATGTTCAACCATGTTCCCAAATGGTTAGCCTATGAAAAATATCTGCTAGGGCATAATTCAGATTTGACGCTGTGTGTTTTGAACATTGTACGTAGTCCAACAGATGTTACATAAATCTTCCCATTCTGTCGCGAACTAATCCGTAAAACCCTCCATCCTTTCACCCCCAACCCCGTCCTCCATTGTGCCCCCCAGACTTTGTTTTTTGACTCATGCCGACACAAATCAGGTCACGCAGCGCGATCAGCTTATGAGAATAAAGCCGTACGAAAGTGTATGTACAGGAGCTTGATACCAGTTTGTTGTGCGTAGCTCATGCTAACGCTAGCACGCTGCTTTGTGGGGCTGATGTGTTTGTCCTTAGCTGATACTGCCCTTGAGTTTCGGTCCAAACCCTCCCCCCCGCCCCACCACCACCAACAGCACTCTCTCTTTCTCGCTCTCCTCCCCCATCCTTCTTTTCTGCCTCATCTCACTATTTCTCTTTCACTCTCCTGCTTCCGGGTACATGAATCTAAGTGGTGGAGGAGGAGGTAGGGTTTCAGCCATCATTGACGCCACAGGAGACATCCGAGTACTGTACTGTACAGCTCGAAGGACAACAAGGGAGATGAAAGGAAAGAGAAGCTTGAGGCAGTGCTGACTTTTGTCACATGATGCAGCAGCACGCACTCGCACAATAGGGCAAATAGCATCACGCACAGAGCAAGCCCAGCATCCCTGAGCGGACATGATGGGACAGGCTGAGCTAAACTGAGCTATTCTACAGAGACTAAAGGGAGTCCAGAGAGCTCTGTGTCCTCACAGACAGATTTCGGTAGCAGATGTGTGGCTCTCTCTGTCCTGCTGTGGTGTTTTTCACAGATAAGCGAGATAAGACATGAGGGATATATTCCCACCTGTTATTAAAAAAAACACAACAGACTGTTTATCTGTTTTTGGGTCATTGTAAGATTATATAAAGCTATAAGTGGCCCTGCTCCTTTTAAAATGAGGTTTATGATTTTACAATATTGTTTTGTATTGCATTGTATTTTCATATGAAATCCCAAAATCGAAAGCATGTATTTTTATAATATATTTTATAAATAATAATATTTTTTCCCCTAACGCTTTTGTATAATAATAATAATAATAATAATAATTCGCAAACAGTTGCTGTAATAATTGTAGAAGACATTTTTCTTTATTCTTCATCTTGAAGGTCGAGCATCAAGACTTCTAAAACAAAGCACAAACAACTCCATCTTGTCTGTCAGTCAATGGACTAACCCTAAAAAATATATATCCACATTCAAATTTCTGTTCCTACAAGTATTGTTGCTTCTGCAAAATCATAATGAAATGAATTATTGCTATTTGATTATTCATTCTAATAATATATATTTTTCTTTTTATAAATAAGAAAATTGTTTCTTATATTATCAAAACCATTATAATTATAGTTGCAATATTAATTAATTCTATATAGTATTTCTATTATTTATTAATTCAAACTTGCTTCAGTAAAAATCCCAATTATATTTTTATATTAATAGCAATATTATATGATTTAATGTATTTTATTTTTCTATTACAGTTATATTCATGGTATTTGCTCAAACTGTGCAAGTTTTCATAATCTTTTTCTTTCTTTTTTTTTTCATGGCTAATACCGCAGGTTTAGTTTGGTAGGGGAACAATGCCTGTAGTAGCATTGCTGTTCTGACAGAAAATATAGTTACCAAATAGTTACCCAAAAAATAATAATAATATAGCCTAATAACCTCTGAGCAGTCTTTTGTGGACAACACAGTTATATCCCCAAATAACATCCTCTCTCTACTGATCCTGTTGACTTTTTCCCCCTGGTTAGCTCCACCATTGTTGCGCATCGCTTTCTTTAATCTCACAGTATAATTAGCCCAAACTGATACTGCACTGCATTAAATGCCTTTTGGGTTTCCCTTTTAGCAAGCAGATTGAATTAGAAACATTTTGTCAAAGACATGGCACCTTGGAAGGGGTATTATGTCGGTGAAATTCCAATGGCAATAAACGCGCCTGAGCCCCACAGCTGCCAGAAATCCTTTTAGCAGCTACTGAATGACCCTCACAATGCATTAAGACTCGCTCTTCGCGGTCAGAGGGCTCCATAATCAGTTTAGAGAAGTTACGAGGGAGTTTATTTGTTTCAGCAGACAGAGAGGAAATAGGACATCCTGTATTAGGGAGTATATTTTCATATTTGTAATATACTTCAATGTTTGAAACTATTTCAGGGGGTTTTGAAATCTGGGAAAGAGCTTTGGTTCTCTTCTAACAGAAGTGAAAATGCTTTGTAAAGTCCTGATTTCCTTAAAATGGTTTTTAAGGACCATTCATAACATCAACCTCCATTTACTTCCACTTTTAAAAGATTATGTTGTGCATAATAGACAAATACACAGCAAACTCTACAGGAGCCCTCGGCTAATCTTATCAAAGAAAAAGAGAGTCAGAGTGGCTTCTTCATCTCAAGGAGTGAAAGAGAGACACTTGTGCTTACACCACAGTTAACCTGCTTAATTAGCTATTAACCATGTTAAAACCCTCTGGGTCTCGATCACACACACACACACACACTTACATGAATGAGGTATGCAGAAGCCCTCTAACAGGCACCAAGAACTATGGATGCCTGTTTCAATTGTGTGAAATAAAGTCATACTATGAAATATAAAGTCTCACTGCGAGATATAAAGACACACATGTGAGCTATAAAAAATTATGAGAAAATGAATGAATGAATAGATAAATAAATTAAAAAGTAGCCATTTTTTAAAAATTGTAAGCAAAAACAGACTTCCATATAGCATAGCACAAAATATAGTCAATTTGGTTACCACCAGTATTATTTTATCAAAGACTTTTAAACTAAATACTTGCAGCTTAAGGCAGATATGATGTGAGGGGTTTTAGGAAAGTCTAATGGAAACTTAAAGGTTCCAAAAGGGCGTTTTCGCATGATGCCAGCTATCCCGAAATAATCGTTCAGTGAACAGTTCTGAACCATTTTTGTTTTCGTGTTTTAATAATCTAAAGATTTTTTTTTACACCATAAAGAACCTTTTGTGGAATGGAAAGGTTTTATGGATGTTAAAGGTTTTTCATGGAACCATCGTTGTCAATAAAGAACCGTTTTTAAGCGTGTTATTGTCATTGCATTTGTTGTACTTCTATTTTGTTGTGTCTGACAGTAAACTAAACATTGTGGGCCCTATCATACAGCCGGTGCAATGTGGCGCCAAGTGTTTTTTGCAAGGTTCAGCCAGACACAGTTCTCATTTTCACATCCTGCGCCATGTTGTTTAAATAGCAAATGCATTTGCGCCCATTAGTGCGCCCATGGGCGTGCTGGTCTAAAAACGAGGCGTGTTCAGGCGCATTGCTATTTTGGGGCAACTGAAATAGACTGCGCAAATTTTTTTCTGTTATTTAAAGAGCGCGTTAGCAATATCCGTCCACGTCCGCGCTTTAACGTTGCGCACGAGCAGATCCATTTCCTCGCTAGAGAAGCGTTCAATTTTACGCTTGCAAATTCCGCCATATAAATAGCGAATCCGCCATGGTGCGAGCAGAACTGGCTTTTAAAGGGAATTGGAGATGAGACTCTGATTGGTTTATTTTACGTTACTCCCAAAACACACCCATTGCTCATTAAAAGAAAGGACCATGCGCCTGGTGGGCTGACCCTTTTTCCTGTCGGAAAACTAGCAAAAGTTGATTCGGACGCTTGCGCCGTGCGCTTTAGACCATGCGCGTTAAAATAGGGCCCTGTGTCTTTAGTGTAGTCACATTCTGTGTCTTAAATTGCTTTACACCTGGACTTCAGAGAATAAGTGAATGAGTTAATAACCAGTTCATGTTCTCTGTCCTGCTGCAGGCTACATCCAAGATTACATCAGCTCTTCTGAGTACACAGAGGAGAAGCAGGCCGACATGAAACCGAGCTCGGATCCGCTGTACTCCCCCGTCAGCAGCGGAGGTGGGGAGTACTGCCAACCGGACCTGGAGCACCCGGACAGCCCTCAGTCTGGCCTCACGGCCCGCGGATACTTCAGCAGCGAGAGCGAATCTCTCAGCGAGGGTTACACCATGGATGCGTTCTTCATATCTGACGGCCGCTCGAGGAGGAAGGGCGAGGTCGCGGAAACGAAAAACGTTGAAGCAGAGGAGAAAGAAGTGGCCGGGGCGAACAACGGAGGTCCAAGACACACCTGCAACGAGTGTGGAAAGACCTACGCCACTTCATCCAACCTGAGCAGACACAAGCAGACCCACCGCAGCCTCGACAGCAAGATGGCGCGCAAGTGTCCCACCTGCGACAAGGTTTACGTGTCCATGCCGGCGCTGGCCATGCACATCCTCACTCACGACCTCAAGCACAAATGCCACGTGTGTAGTAAAGCCTTCAGTCGGCCCTGGCTGCTGCAGGGGCACATGCGATCGCATACGGGAGAAAAACCCTTCGCCTGCGCCCACTGCGGGAAAGCCTTCGCCGACCGATCCAACCTACGAGCGCACATGCAGACACATTCGGCCTTCAAACACTACAGCTGCAAGCGCTGCAATAAGACCTTCGCGCTCAAGTCCTACCTGAACAAGCACTACGAGTCCGCCTGCTTCAGAGGATCCGGAGATGAGGACGAGTCTGGCTCCGAGAATTAACAAGAGAAAAGATGAAGATGAGTTAACGCTCTCAAAAATCCCCCACAGACTCCCCTTCACAGACCCCACTGTCCCTTTTTTAGAAAGCAATATTTTCACCAAGAAAAAAACCCAAACCAACCCAATAATAATAAGACAATAATGAATAGATGCTGGATTTTTTTTCTTTGGTAAAAAAAAAAAAAAAGACCCTCTCATATAGACACGTACAATTATGAGGCCTGGCATGCAAATTTTTATGAACATAATCCTATTAATAACGATAGTAATAATATTTAGATTACTGATGTTTTATAGCAAATCATAAAAAAGACATAAAAAAAGACAGCAACAGGTTTGTGCTTTTTGAGAAATGAAAATCAATTTGTATTTTTATGCTGCTCTTTTATTTTGAATTCTTTTGCAACTGCCAACATAAACTTTTTATGAAAATGTGAATAATGACAGTATTTGCAAAAAAAAAAAAGAAAAAAAAGAGAGAAAATTGTAGACCTCTGAAAAGGTGCAAACTTTTGTTACACTTTTGGTATTTTATTTATAGTTGTTATTTTTATATTCAACATTTCCTGCAGTTTGATTATTTATTTGTTTATTTATTTATTTGTGCCAATCGTGTCCTGTAACTGTTCGAGCAGAGCGACCATCACTTTTGATTTACCATATGGAGGAAACAGCACTCAAGACAATGATCACCAAACATTCGAAACACTTATAATACGGACGACAGGGACTTTCAACGACTTCTTTCGCGGATCTCTGCTCGCTCTGCTGGGCTTCCTCACACTAAAACAGACTGCATGTGCTCCAGATGCCTGGGGCTCCACCCCTTGTCTTCCTGCTCCATGATTACCTCACCCAGAGGCAGGTATGACCTCTAACCTCTGCTCTGTCCAACCTCTCAAAGCATCCATCACAAACCTCATTTCTACCATTCCAGTATTATTGTTGAGTACTTATGTATTTATTTATGCACTATTTTCATTTCCCTATTTATTTAATGTGTATTTATTTATTTATGTACCTATCTATCTATCTATTTATTTATTTATTTGGTTGATTATTCTCTGTGTTATTGGATACTGAACTGCCGTTGACCTTTTAAAATGCTGCTCTTTAATGAAAATCTTTATATGCATGATTCAGCTGTAGAGGGATTTTATTCTTTTCGAGAGGGACGGTATGCAGTGTTTAAAAGCAGATGAATTCAGGTGATGATGCTTTGTTTAATGGGCAATAATTATTCTTAGGTACAGCAACTTGTATAATCACAGCTGTCCTGTTAGCAGTCAATGTAGGGCAATAAACAGAAATCTCCTTAATATCTCAAAGGTCATATCTCATTTCGTCGTTTCTAGAACTCCATTTCCTGCTGAGACCATTCAGAATGTCTAGGGCTGCATCTGAAATCGCATACTTACCTACTATATAGTAGGCGTATATAGTATATAGTAGAAAGTTCACGGATGACCAGCTTCTGGTGAGATTCTGAAGTGTGCATAGGATGGACACTTTACTATCCCATGAGGCCACGGGAGAGGATTTATGAATGGCGGTGACGCGACTGTTGCAGTAGGTCACGTGATAAGGGCAACATGGCGAATGTAGTGCATCCAGATTACATTCATACCACACACATTAATCCTAAATATAACATACTTTTTTAGCGCTCACAAAATACTTATTCAAAATAAGTACCTACTCAAGAGAGTATGCGATTCCGGATGCAGCCTATGTCTATGGTGTGTTTGTGTGACTCCACCCACATTTGTGACATCACAATTCATCTCATTGCTCAAATGCCAAACAATTTAGTATTCCAGAAATGTCTTTTACATCTAAACACTAATAAAAACAAAGCGAAAGCAAATTATATCAATCCCAGAAGGTGCAAATCGAACAGATATTAAAACCCTTTTTTTGTTGTTCTTACAAATTTAAATGAAATTTTAATAACAAAATCAGCAGCAATAAGCCTTTTTCTAACAATATTTTTTACTATTACTATTATCACAAATGTAATATAACTGTCTTGCATCTCAGTAGTTTTGAATGTAATTATAAAAAGACTAACCCACAGCATGACATATTTCAAGCATTTGGCTTTAGCTGTCCAAATAAATCCCATCATAAGCTGAGGCCGCCAGACGATGACATGAATATGACAGAGTTTCAGTGACATGTGAAATAGAAGTCCCAAATCCTAGACCCAGAAATAATGACCCCCCCCTGAATGGCCAATCAGGATGGATTATTCAGTGTTTGAGTGAAAGGAGTGGTGGGTTCAGGACAGAGATGAAACAAAATAGAGGCTTAATGGCAGCATTGATGGAAATAGCTGAGCATATGGCGCCAATGTGCCGCTGCCTGTATAATAAAGATCTGAAAGATGTTAGGAGATAAAAGGATGAGAAGTGCAATCATAAAATGCGACGGTGTAAATCAGCTGTCTCTTTGCTGTCAGTCCTACGAAGCAGAAAAAGCAGAAACAAAACTGCTTGTTTCATAATGAAAATACATTTAGCACCATCATGAGGAATGAAACCCTGCATATGACAAAATGCCTCAGCATATATGATAGCTCATGTCCAAACGGATAGAGGCAGTGTCCACTCCCCTTAAGGTTTAACAGGTGTTGGTGGACAGACAGTAGTCTGAGAGCATAATTGAGTCTGAGTTTGACCTTGTGAGGAAGGTCGAGCAGCAGCAGCCAAAGGCTCTGTCAGCGTTTTGCATATTGTAAAAAGGATGGCACAATCTCAGTAATGGGCCAAAACCTGCGGGGAATAGATAATGAGTTTCTCCTCCCACTTTTCTTCTGCTCTTCGCCTCTTATCCACCCATTCCTGACCTCGTACATTGGCACGCTGTGTCCTAGCAGATTTCTGCATTGCTTTTCACTCTCATTGCTGATGGACATCAGTGTCAGAAATACAACTACAGTTAAAATAAAAAATTAATACTTGATCACTGATACAATGATCACTATTTAAAAGGTTAACATAAAATTTAAAGTGTAAAATATTCAAAATATATCAAATAATTCTTGATATATTTTATAGCATCTTGTTAGATAGGCCAATAGAATAAAATATTATGAACTATATATACACTACCATTCAAAAGTTTGGGGTCAGTAAAGAAGTGTATATTTTTATTCAGCCAGTATACATTACATTTATCAAAATTGACAGAAAAGACATCTATAATGTTATAAAATATTTATATTTCAAATAAATCAATCTGTTTTCAACATTGATAATAACAAATATTTCTTGAGCAGCAAATCAGCATATTAGAATGATTTCTGAAGGATCATGTGACACCGAAGACAGAAGTAATGGCTGCTGAATATCACAGGAATACATTACATTTTAAAATATATTCAAAATAGAAAACAGTTTTTTAAATTGTAGTAATATTTCACAATATTACTGTTTATACTGTATTTTTGATCAAATAATTGCAGCCTTGGTGCACATAAGAGACCTCTATTAAAAACAATAAAAAGTCTTCCTTTTGAACGGTAGTCTATATGAAATAGAAAGAGAAGTTATCTAACAGATGATATACTATGAAGAACTCTTTGTCTTCTCATTTGAAATATCTGGAGCACATTGGTGGCATTGATTCATTTCTGACCCTGATGGACATTCATCCTGCTTTTATTCCTAAATCATCCCCTCATACTTCTGACACACCCACAGATGTGAAGAATCAACATACTATCAGTTATGAATTTCCATCTGGATATTTTCCATACTAATAAGGCTTGAATTCAGAGTCAGTTCAAATTATGCAAAGCTTGATGTAATGATGAGCTCTTTTAAAGGCTATTCCAAAGGACTACCATCATCTCTTTGTTTTCAGCAAAATAATTTTCCACAAATGTTCAGAAACGTGAGATAACTGAAGAGACTGAGAAAGTGAACGCGTTTTAAACAAATGTAAATATGTGTGTATATATATCTCAGCAATAATGAGACACCGCATGTGAGCCGATCCCTTTTGCTTTCACCTTTTCTGAGCCGTTTAACCCTGGACAGGCTGAACAGGATCAGGGACTTCATTAGCTCATTACCCGCTGTACTAGCTACCAGCAATATTAACAATGCTAACCATTCTCTCTCTGTTCACCAGGATCTACCAATATTTCTTTGTCTCTCTCTCTCTCTCTCTCTCTCTCTCTCTCTCTCTCTCTCTCTCTCTCTCGTTATTTTTTTCTTCTTTTGTGGAAGTGCCCAGCCTGGCTGAACAATAATAAGAAGTGCCAAAAAATTAAAGAGTTATTTCCATGACAAAAGCCTTCAGCATATGGTAGGCAACTCACAGCCCTCCATATGGTCCTTGAGAGATTTCAGATTGTCTCTCTTCTTTTCTCTTGCCTTCTCTCTCTATCTTCCTTCCTTCCTTCCTTCCTCCCTGTGTAAAAACGTAAAGATTTTTCCACTTCTGATATTACATTTTGCCTGTTATGAAGGGTAAAGCCAATAGTGACGTTTATGAACAATAAAATCAATAGCACAAGCAGTCCGTTGTCACTTTTTTTATTGACCTAATGTTTTACTTCTATTTCTCTCAAACACAGAACATGAAATGTACACTGAAAGTGCTTTTCGATTACTCTCACAGACCCCTGACCCTTGTTTAAAACCCCTGCATTAGCAGAACTATATATTCTGAGTTTCCGACTTACTTCTTACAGTTAGACAGACATCAATTCTGATCACAACACAAGACTAAAGAGTCACAGATCAGAATGACTGAGCGACTTCTTCCTGTGCTCCTCCTCCCTGACAACGCCCACCTATCTCAGCAATGGCACTGCTGAACTGGGATCAGCCTTCCCTGCATGCATCAGTGCTATAACTCTCACCGGAAGAACATCCAAACTGTAATCAAGTCAGCAGCTAAAGTCACTCTGAAACCTGACGCACACGCATCTGTCCTGGAGCTGTTAAGCCAGTCCAAGTCATTAAATGTTAATGAAACATTGATTTTCTGTTACACTCTGGCCTTACCAAGATGCAGCACTCAGAGCAGAATGAGACC